GCTTGCATTGCATGTGAACAGGGGCAATCTGCTTCTATGCAGCCCAAGGTTTATGGGGTAGGGAGAACAGTATTCCCCCATGTTCTCAGTTTGGGTGAGGGTGGAAGAAACAGACAGCTTCTTCACCCCACCCGCCCCAGGGTGTTCATCTTGGACTGCAGAGAATAGAACAGATTGCACATGTTCTCTTGTAGCCCAGTCTGTAAGTCCATTTTTAATGTGTTGGTTTGTTTGCAAAGTTTATATCATGGCTTTCTGATCTCACATGGGCCACCATTTAATTTAAACAATTTAAAACATACATGATAAGATCACATTTTAAAACCATTACAATCACACACCCTAAAAAAGCACACATAATTAAAACAATTAAAAACAGAGTTAAAATACATACAAGACATCAGTTTTGGCTAGAAAAAGATCAGTGGTTTCCTAAAATGGATTGAATGGGCTGTAAACAATAGGCGCAATCTACACCTAATCTTTGCAGCCGAAGGAACCAGTTTGGGAGGAGATAAGCTGTATGGATTGTAGAGAACAAGAGCAGCCTGTTGCTTTTCTAATGAAACCAAAGTTGACAGTTTGGGCAGGGGGGAATACACTGATCATTCCTGTTCTCTCCACCCCAAGCTTCTCCCTATGTTTCAGCCTGGCTGGAAATGAGAGAAGCTGGGTGGTGGGGGTAGAGAACTGACAGAGAATCTCAGTTGATGTTGGTGTTTGACCTCTCTCTTTAAACTACCTGCAATAAGTTTGGGAGGACGTTTCCATTCAAGTCGTTCATTGGGAGATGAACCATTGCGTGATAAGCTCACCTCTATTCATGTCAGGCAAACAATGTATGTTCAGCTGGCAAAACACATTCTCCATGAAATTCACAATATCCCTAGTCATGTTGTGGGGAGGTGAAAAGAACCCAGCTTCTGTCTCTAAGGCCAATCCTGGCATGATGCACCTATGTCAGATTGTTTATTTAGGAAGTTGGTGTGTCCTCTCGCCTGAGACCTGCTCTAGCTCTACCATATAAAAGACAATATAACAATAAAATTATGAAAGCAATAAGTGTGACCATTATTAATGCTGAATAATAAAGCAGACATTAAAACAATGTTCAGCAGCCTAAAACATTATTCGTCAAGGAGCTCTCAGGTTATCTGAACAGTAGAGGAGTAAAGGCTCCATGTACGCCAATCCCAAGCCCCTTAGGGCCTTAAAGGTAAGAATCAGCATTTTGAGTTGTGCTCAGAAACAAATGGGTGCCTGTTGCAGGTCTTTCTGCACAAATGGATCTAGAACAGCCAATTACAGCCTCTCACTTTATTCCAAAGCTTCCCATCACTTCAGCAGACAGGTCTGAGTGTGAAAATTGATGTATTGGTATAAGGAAAGCCGTAGTGCACTCAGCTCCACAGGGAAATATCTGCTAGTCAGCCATACAATTGCTGACTATTTAACATACAAGGAAAGGAAATCTTTCATTTAGTGTGTGTAGTCAGCCCATCTCTTCAACATTTGGTCATGAATTCTGATTGCCAGTGTGCCTGTTCTGTGCAAACAGGTACCCTTCTTACATTACTTACAGAGCCAATCTAAGGGAAACTGTAAAGAAAGTGCAGTTTCCTCACAGTGGTATAATAAAGATGTCCCTGCATTGACAATTCTAAGCTTCCACATCAGCAGAAGTTAATGAAGAAATCACAGTTGCCTTGTAATTCTTTTTCTGAGGAAGTTGTTTGGGATATTCTTAGTACTTAGTGCTATTAAAATAAAGCTAAAACTTGCAAACAGAATACAAAGTACTTGTCCAGATTTCCAGCAGAGTAAAAGCTGGGATGCCTCTTTTTTGGGTTTTAATCTAAAACTTTTTACTTTGCTTTGCTTTATGGTAACACAACTCCTGTTACTCTATTTATGAATTTTTGATGGACAGTTTATCTAATGAAATGCAATAGGGTGGTGTATATTCTGTCAATGGTGGTCATTCTTTAGTGATGGGAAGTCTCAGATTGGATGCAAAGTAGCTCTTTAATAAGGCACTCCTACCTGCACAATGGGGAGATCACAGTTACTGCAGATTTCCCCTTGATCTTCAGTTCCAACCCATACTGCATTCCACATCAATGTTAAGGTCATGCAGGGGGGCTGTAGGTGACATAGGAAGACAAGAAAGGTCTGTTCCATGATTCTTTTGATCCTCCCAGCAGTGTATGATATACTTTTGAGTGGGGGGGAAATTCTCTTGAAGTATACATAATGCCTAAATATATTGGACACAATATAAAAATGTTAGGTCTAAGGGCCAATTCACATATATGCCTCTTCAAAAACTTTTGACCAGACATGTACTGGGAGTTAACCACTGGGAATTTAATTCCTAGACACACTCATGCCTAATCCAGATTAGGACCATGGAATCTGGGAAGGTAAGGTTTAAATGTACCCCTTGTGCTGTTTTTCCAAACTGAAAAGGCCCTTAGGCACTTCTGTTTGCCCTGTGGGAGCGATGTACATGGTTTTTTTTGTTTGTTTTTTATGTACATGTAACTACCAGTACAGTTATGTTTACCTAAAAGTCAAAAAGCAGAGCCCTGGGAAGTCAGGAAAATGGTGCAGGATGAAGGCTGTCAGACTCCTGCAGCAATCAGTTCCCAACAACTTTCATTAAAGTAGTTTATTGAGACATTGAGAGTATGCAGATATCTTAACCATTTCATGTTAGAACTGAAGAAAAGTACATGCAGCAAGCGGATATACATTATTCAAGGAGGCCCCCTGATGGCCCAGGGCCAATCAGGGATCAGGTAGAAGCCCACCAAAGTAACGTGCTACTTTTCCCAGGAGAAATACTACACCAGGCACTGAAGGTCATACAGCAATAATAGAAACACAGACAACACAGCAGAAATGAAACTAAACATTCCAGAGTCACCCCACTCCCATGGCAGCCAGGGCTTAAGAAAGACCTAGCTGACAAAGGCTTAAGTCTTTTCTTCTTGTGAGCAGGTTGTGATATGAAACAGGTTCACCCATGTCTGGAACTTAAGTTTCCAGCAGGGAACTTCCAGAATAGATCTGCTGAAAGTTCCCAAGGAGGACACAAGGACTATATAATGTGTGAATCAGCAATAATGCATATTGGGATGAGTAGGTTTTAAGTCTATGGTTGAACATTTAGGTGTTTTTGGTATAATGACTGTATCTACACAATAAAGCCAGTTGCTAACATTCCATCACCTTCTAATGTGACCAGGAAACTGAATTCATTACAGGGCTGTGCAGAGAGGGGCTGGCATGCTTCTCAATAGCTACCACTGGGCTTCATGGAAAAAAGTGAACATAATTTATACAGTGAAAGGTTGATCCAGTCAGCTGATCCCAGAATCACTAGAAGCAAGTGTTGTCCCCATCCCAACAGTGTCTCTGAGTGTCTTAGTTCCCCATATTTGACAATGGCTTGTCATTCATCCCTGAGGGGAAAACTAAAGTGTTGCATTTGTAGGAATGGTTATGATGGTAGACTGAGAACGGAAAGGAACCCTCTATCCCTTCCCTACTGGTTGAACTAGATGGTTGCAAAGAGGCAGCCATGTTAGCAAAATAAAACAAAAGTTCAGTGGTATCTTAATGACTAACAATATTTACCTCAATATGAGCTTTCATGAGAAACAGTTCACTTCTTCAGAAACAAGCCCAGGAACAAACCATGCAGACCAAAATGCTATTTTTTGCCCCATCTACACTTGGGCAATACTGTCACAAGACCTAATAATATGGGCTACATCAACCTGGGCGCACCCACTTTAAATCATCCAATTTAATATATGCCATCATGTGCCAACAATGCCCTTCTGCTGTCTACATTGGGCAAATATATTGGTCTTTATGTAGTAGAATCAATTAATACTGTTATATACCTGGTAGTCACTGTTCTACAAAAAAGAACTTTAAACAGTGTATACAATATTAAAGTGCTGAGTTAGAACTCATCAAGAAATTAAATACTGTATGCCATCCTGCCTTAAACAGAGACTTGGATTTCCTTACTCACTACAATTGCTAATAGCTCTACAGAACCCACTTATTAGAAATTTTAATTGGCCATTCTAACATTCTTACATTCTAAATTGGCCAGTTTAGCAGACTATAACTTTGTGTCGATATCAGTTAATTTTCACTTAAACTTTTTATCCTGCTTCATAACTTCACTAATCTGCTTGAATTTACTTCTCTCACCATCCATTATGTGTAACTGTCAATTTTCTTGATTTATGACTTTATTCACACCTAACCTTTCTACTTCAGCTCCTCCCCCCTTACATTAATAATGTACACTTGAAAGATTCATGACAGAATTCATACTAGGCCTCAGCTTCTCTCCCTCCCCTCCCCTCCCCTCCCCTCCCCTCCTGGTAATCCCCACAAGAAGAATCTCCAGTATGATTTCCCTGTCACATATCTGAAAATGTGAGCTGTCACTCCACCTGGATCTATCAAAAAATGTATAAAAACAAATTAGATAGGCCTTTGGGTAGCTATCAATAACTATCAGAATATTATAAACATTATGGCAACTTTAAATATGAATCTCTAATTTTTTTCTATAGTCATTGAGTCTCCTGGTTTATTGTAGCCATTGAAACTACTCCATTCAGGGAGCTGCATTCAGTGATCTCGTCTGGTTTAAGGCAGCTTCATTTCCTGCTTAAGTGAATGACAGACTTCAGTCATGCTGGGACCACCTGTCACATGATCCTGTGATACAAAAGTCTCCTAAATGATCCATATATGTAAAGCAGCTATGAAGCATTAGAACTGTAACTTTTTTACAAACGTTTGCTCAATTGACAAAGAAAGATTGGAAGTAAATTTTAAGCACCAAAAAGACTCATGCTAAAAGAGAAATATTCATTTCTACATATAATAATAAGTGACATAAATAACTTTGTTGATTTTTAGTAGCTATGTTTTGATGTAACACACATTTTTTGTTTTATTGCTAGATCGGGGCTGCTAGCCTTAGGAAAGCCTTTAGACAGAGAAAGCACTGATCGCTACATTTTGATTGTTACAGCCTCAGATGGCCGACCAGATGGGGTAAGTTTTTTGCAAAAATGTAAGAGCGTGTTTGGGGGTTTTTGAGGCCAAAATAATAGGGAGCTAAGAGCAGTGCAGCCATCTCACATTTGATTTGAGTCTTTCAATAATACTTCTATAACTTACATCAATTCCCCTTTATGTCAGAAAAGTTTCGTGCAGATGGTTCCACTGCACTACTTTGGAAGTACAGCACATATGCTCCAAGTGAAATGATTTGTGTCACATTCCCTGACCTCTCATTGTTCTATTACGGCCAGAACTCACACGGCACACTGTGAGTGGTTTCCCACGGGATGTATCTTATGACTGTTCCAGCTCATTGAGATCAGCTCCTTGCTTAGCATCTCACACATCATTTTTGAAAGTTCTCACTCCCACTGTGCGAAGCCATATCCTGAGATGCTTCTCTGCTCTGGAAAACCTTTTTTGTTGTTGTTTTCTTTTGTTTACTGAATCTCTTTTGAGAATCTTCACAGGACAAGACGTGACGTTTGTTCAATTTTTTAAAAAAAACACACCAGGGAAATCATTTTTAAAAATGTTTAGTGACAGATCACAAGGAAAATCATATGAAAGATTTCCTTCTGCTTGCAGTGAAAAACATATAAATTGGGTTATTTCCTAGAATCTTAGGAGATTTTGCTTTGTTGGCACAGTATGTTTATTGTCACTGGCCATAAAAATACTCTGCTAGTTATAGGAAGATGATCTTTCTGAATATTTTTTAGTAATTTTTCTTTTATTGCCCAATGTTTTGCTTTCCATTTGTTGTTAGCTTGTTCTATGGCTCCTTGCCTATGGCCCTTCTTTGAATCATGGGCTATCATTTCTGACCCCGTAAAGAGGTCTAAAATAATTCAAATATTGGTGAGCTGTTGCTTATTATATCAGGTTTGAGTAGCTTTTATTCTGCTAAAATTAAATGACCAGAACTAAAGCAATTGTGAACAGTGGGCTACAAATGCTGCTATTGCATGTCTGAACAAGCACAAAGCTCAGGATGACTAATAGCAAATTCTTTTCACTAAAGCTTTTGATGATCTTTCTGAAATGTTCTGTTCTTCGGTGACTTCATGCTGCAGAGTGAGGACCTAAACCCACTCAGTCACTTCCACCAATGTTCTGCCCTCTTCTCATACATGATTCTGATGTAACATTTTTCTGCTACGAAAGAATGCTCAAGAGGAGGGATTATAGACTACAAAAGTAATGTGGGAAACATATTTTGTTTAGAAAGCCATAAAGATTAAACTAGATCTCATACTGCTTTGCAAAGTTTTTGTAGACTTTGCATCTTGATTCTTCTGTAAAGAAAAAGGAGAATCAGTCATAAGATGGACGTATATAATACATGTTTATTCTGTTTAGAGCCTTTCCATGCCTTTCCTGACTGGCTCACAATGAGTTTTTTCCTCTAACAAACCTTATTTGCACAGGAAGAAAAATCGACTCAATATGCAAACTTCCGTATATTTATCCATGTCCCTTATCTTTATTACCTATTAAAATAGAATGTTTGGTGAATAGAAAAGTAACATGATAATATATGACTACCAGATGCATTTATAGGTGCCTCAGAAAGATTGTAATAAGCTGTGGAATAGGAACTCCTGCTTCACTTGCTTCTGACTAGCTAGTTAACTGTCACCGTGGTTACACCTTTTCACTGGAAAGGTCACATTTGCATCTTGGTTTCTAATTACCACTACACTCTGTTTTCAGCATCCACCTCCAATAACTAAGTAAAACAAAGTTTAGCTTCCCATTAGCAAGGTACCAGATCAAAGTATGTATCACACAAGTCATCTTCCAACCCTGGGAAACCACCATTTTAGGCCTCTAATGTACACCTTGTCAGTCCCATTTGCTAGCTGAGGCATGGATATGAATGGGCAACGACTGAGAAGGCTGTTTTTAAGGTACAATGGCACAGTTCCAGCTCTGGTCATGGGACAGCTAGCAGCTGTGGAAGGAAATGTGCATCTCCCCTAGGGATGCCACAAATTACATTGTTTGGCAGGCAAACTTACCTTGTGCAACACTCACAATCAGACTTTGAGCCAATCAGAGATATGTTTTGATTGCATAAAGAAACTTGAATAACTATCAAACAACTTTACAACTGCCTGTTGATCAAAAGGCAACTCACAGCAGATCAAGGGATCAGCTGGGAGTTCGTTCTTATCCAACCCACTCCATGGTAACATAACTACATCCTTACATTGCATATGGGAACTCTTCCCTCCACTCCATGTTGGGTAGAGAAAACAAACAACCATGTTTTGATCTCTCCATTACAAATGGGAGAAGAGAAAAAGCTTCCCTTTCTCCTTTTTTTTCTGCTGCCCAAGCAGACAGCTTGGGTAGGGACAACAGAAAACAGCTGGGCTTTGGGTCACCCTTTACACACACATGCACACAAATTGGCTGCATCTCACCAAGTCTGGGAATTAGTAGTATTTTCAGGATGGGAGCAAAGAAGAACTTGACTTCCAGCTGATCAGCAAGGAGTGGGCTCTACCCCCTAAAAGCTTCACTGAGTACAGAGCAAAATTTCCCCATCAAGGGATCAGAAGTCAATTCCCAGATGATCTCTTATGCAAGTAGCCTGGTCCTCTGGGTATATGTGAACAGGTTGACAACAGCTGAACAACCTGTCAGCTAGTTGGCTGCCTGATCACCAATGTGGACAGGGAAGTTAGCCAAAGTGGCAGGTGTTCAAACATCAGGAATCCCCACCCATACCAAAAAATGTACCTGATTTGTTTCCTTGTTGGGATATGAATACCTCACTTTTCTCCCCAAAGCAGCTTAGAAAGTTCTTTTGTCCTCATCCTTTTTATCCTCACAACAATCCTGTGAACTAAGTCACACTGAGAAAGAGTTAATGATCCAAGGTTATCCAATGAGCTTCAGTGACAGAGTGGGGATCAGGTCTCCCTGATCCTAATCCAGCACACAAACCACTGTACCACAGTGGCCTGCTTGATCGTTGTGATGCAGATGTAGGTGTGAACCCAGATGTGTATTTATACCCACATCAGTTTATATGCCGAAACCGACTGCTGGATAAGAGCACATGTGTGTATGGCTACCAATATATGGAGACACTGGTGCTGTTTATTCACAGTTGTGTTTATACTTGTATAAACTTTGCCTCTGAGCTTTGCCTACAATTTTTCTCTTCAGTTTCAATGTAATCTGTTATCTGTGTCTCAGACTGCATTTAAATCAATACATTGACTTAACATCAAAGCTAAGACCACTTTCTTTGTGAATTTCAGTAGGAGTTTATAATAGCATGATATCTGTTACAAAAGTCTTTGACTCGTTCAGTTGCTCCATTATTGGAAAGTACAGAAATACCTCTGGGAAGGGGAAAAGAGTGAGTGAGCTGAGAAGGTAAGAAAGGCAGAGATAGAGAAAGAACTGTGATGATACACAAAGAAAGGAGTGAGCACTGTAGGGTCAGAAAGACCTGCAGAGAGGGGAGACAGGAAAGCCGAAGTAACACAGAGATGCAGAAAGGCTTGTGCTGATGCTCACAGAATACCAGCTATTGTAGGGTGCCGAGCCCCAAAGCAGGTTTGCAGAGACCTCTTAATGGGGGAGGTGGGGAGGGGAGGGCAATTTGAAGATTGAATACAGTCCTATAGTGGTGCAGGGTCATGGAGAAGAGAGGTTGTATATTATAGGGAGCAGAGTGTAGTGAAGGGAGACAGAGATCTATTCTGTTCTAAAAGAGAGCACTATAAGACAGGAAAATGGAATTAAAGCATAAGAAGAGGAGGAGGAGGAGGAGGAGATTGGATTTATACCCCACCCTTCACTTGGAGTCTCAGAGCGGCTTACAAACTCCTTTCCCTTCCCCTCCCCACAACAGACACCCTGTGAGGTGGGTGGGGCTGAGAGAACTCTGACACAAACTGCTCTTTCAGGAACAGCTGTGCCAGAGCTTGTGACTGACCCAAGGTCACATCAGCAGGTGCAAGTGGAGGAGTGGGGAATCAAACCCGGTTCTCCCAGATTGGAGTCCACACACTTAACCACTACACCAAACTGGCTCTCTAACTGACCCTAAGAAAAGGACATACTGAATTAAAATTGCAGAAAAAATTATCCAGGTAGGCTGCCTTGAATAAACCTTTGTTTGTCTTAAAGTTGCCACTGGACTCCAAATTTGTTCTTTTTTCAATATAAACATTTTAAAAGATCTTAAAAGATGTGCAATGTAATGTGCAATGTAAATGCTATAAAATTTAAATTTTAAATATTGTTTCCACACAAAATCATGCAGTTGGTTGTCAAGGAGCTTAATTAAGTTGGTAAAATAGTAGATGTAGAGGTTGGCTGTTATCTTGAAAGCCAACGGAAACTATGGTGATGTCTGAAACGAAGAACAGTTCTCAAATGCTTGAGTGCTGGTTGAATTTTGAAAAACACAACTAGTCTATTCATATGAGCAGTGCTAATGTTTGAGAAGAGAGCAGTTGGGAGATTATCCTTTGCAGTAGCTCTCTGTTGTTGCCTTCATTCTTACTGCCTAGTCTGCCCTGCATTGGATAATGCTGTTAATAAAGGACAGGTAGGAAATTAAAGGAATCACAAGTGGGAATTAAGATTGCTGGGGAAAAGATCAACAACCTCAGATATGCAGACGATACCACTCTAATGGCAGAAAGTGGACCTAAAGAGCCTCTTGCTCAGAGTAAAAGAGGAGAGCGCAAAAGTGGGTTTGAAGCTCAACATCAAAAAAACTACGACCATGGCATCTGGCCCCATCACTCCTTGGCAAATAGAAGGGGAAGTCGTGGAAGTAGTGACAGACTTCACGTTCCTGGGATCCCAGATCACCGCAGACTGTGACAACAGCCATGAAATTAAAAGACGCCTGCTCCTTGGGAGGAAAGTGATGGCGAACCTAAACAGCATGATAAAAAGTAGAGACATCACCCTGCCAACAAAAGTCCGCATGGTCAAAGCAATGGTATTCCCAGTAGTCATGTATGGCTGCGAGAGTTGGACTATAAGGAAGGCCGAGCGCCGAAGAATAGATTATTTTGAACTATGGTGCTGGAGAAGACTCTTGAGAGTCCCTTGGACTGCAAGAAGATCAAATCAGTCAATCCTAAAATAAAACAACCCTGACTGTTCCCTGGAAGGCCAGATAATGAAACTGAAGCTCAAATACTTTGGCCACCAAATGAGAAGGGAGCACTCACTGGAGAAGACCCTGATGCTGGGAAAGACTGAAGGTCAAAGAAGACGGGGACGGCAAAGGATGAGATGGTTAGACAGTGTCATAGATGCAACAAACATGAAATTGAGCAAACTTCAGAGGATGGCGGAAAACCGGAGGGCCTGGCGAGATCTTGTCCATGGGGTCGCGAAGAGTCGGACTCGACTGTGCGACTGAACAGCAAGAAGGAAATTAGGCCTCTTGACCTTTTCCCTCTATGTCCTCTTATCAGCTGCATGACATCAAAAAGCCAGCAATTTATGCAGTGCTAGAAAGGCTATATACATTGAATGGCTGGTTGACAAACATCTTAAAAAGCATATAGACTTCACAAAAAAGGCATTCTTAGGTGTGATTGAAGGATTCCTGGGTTTTACTTTTTTAAAGACTAGATTAGGCAAGGCAGTCTTATGGGGTAAGCACTGTGATCTGCTTGCAAGGAAGAGCTACAGACAGCCATGTGATGTAGCGGGCTAGAACATTTCCCTGTCACCAGACCTGGGTTGTGATTACAGACACTGCTTAATCCAAAGCAGTTCCTGTGTTGCTGTTTACAGACTTCCATTTATAAAGGGCAAAGTATATGAAAATGGACAGGGTTGACACATCTTAGTCTCTGATGTACAACACTTTTGGATTAAAAAAAAACTTTTAGATTTGTAAACTCTTGGTAAAGAGATTATTATGCATATCTATAAGTATGTTAAAGTATCATCATCATCATCATCATCAATTCTGGCTTCAATTATAGGGCCAGAGACTTGAGTTTAAAACAAAAGAGGGTGCTGTCAGCTTTAGTTTGGCCCTTGGTTACCTAACTGATTTGAAGTTGAAGCAGGAGATGCTGACTCTGCACAGATAATCTTTCAGTGGGAAATGCTGATGTGGACATAGTTCTTCCTGAAGCTTGAATGCTGGGTAGATTCTTTATGCTAAATTGTGATATTCTGATAAATTGAAGAAGGACCAAAGGACTAGGTGTAGGCAAGGGTGAAATCTTGCTTTTTAAAATCTCTCTTGGCCTTTTTGGGCTTTAATGCTCCAAAAGTTCAGTTTCTTGGCCCCTCACAACTAGCAGACAGAAGCTACTCTCATGTTTGAAGACAAAATGGGAAAGAAAAGGGCCAACAAAGATGGAAGCTTGATACTAACAGGTGCCAGCCCTTATTTCCAATATCTCAGGTAGCACATCTGGAAAAGTCTCTGCATGAAAACCTGTAGAACTACTGCTAGGAAACAATACCAGGCTAGGGAGAGAGTGGCCAATGTAAAGCATCTTCCTATGTTTCCGTGCAAAACCTGTTTGAAACAGACTGGAATGGTTTGATAAAGCCTGCAGCTTCTTATTCACTACGGTCTATGATTTCTCAGTCATATCTTTTCCGTTTACTAAATCTACACATATTTTTATTGCAGTTCAGCTTTTAAATGGGTTATAAAACCAATTTGAATTTACTATGCCTCATGTGCTTCATGAGCGTTTTTGCTTTTTTTGCATTGACAGCAAAAATGGAGGTACATTTCTTCAAATGAAGACCTGATGCTCAGAAACAGCTGATGCAGTAAACCTGTATCTGGACTGTACCACTTCAGAGTGTGGGTGCTCACATGCTCGAAAAATTTCCCTAGACGTAGAGACACATAATGTCGGGGAGAATGACACGCTGCATTTCTATGTACAGATTTATTTATTTTTTTTACATAGAAGATCAATCCATGTAAACTCCCACGTAGTCATAAATTCTCCACTTCATTTTCTGTTTGTGATGGCTGAACTATTAGATATGGTGATAGCAGTTCTCTGCATTTAAATGTGGACCTGCATTGATAATAGTACTCCCAGCAGTGGGTTGGGAAATTCCTGGCTATTTGGGGGTGGAGCCTGGGGAGGGTGGAGTTTGGGAGGACAGAGAGTTGAACAGGGATATGATGTCATAAAGCCCACTCTCCAAAGCTGTCATTTCCCTCAAGAGCATTGACCTCTGTAGTCTGGACATCAGTTGTAATGCCAGCAGAACTCTACACCCCACCTGGAGGCTGGTGACCCTAACTGATCACATAGAAAGCAGGGGGTGAAAGCCCAATGTTAAGAGTAAGAGGGACAATGTGAGCTTGTCAGCTGCCTTCTGTGGCTTAACTTTCTTCAGTCTGTCACTTCAGGCACTTTTCTCCCAGGTTAGGATGACTACCACTGTAGAAGAAAAAGGTTTTTCAAGTGTGTTGGGAGGGGGGGACTGTGGAAATAGTGGCAACAGAAGGATTCCGTGACCCATTGGTGTAACCCTTTTGTTCTTAAAATTGGGGTCCCCTTGCCAGTTATATAGTTATATAGGAGCTGCAGTGGCTCAAGTGGTTAAGACGCTGAACTGCAGGCTGTGGAAGGTCAGTAGTTCAGCAGTTCGAGACCCGGGTGCCGCATGATGGAGTGAGCTCCCATCTCTAGTTCCAGTTCCTGCCAACCTAGCAGTTCGAAAGCAAGAAATTGCAAGTAGATAAATAGGTACCACTTCGGTGGGAAGGTAACAGCCTTGGTGTTTAAGTCATGCCGGCCACATGACCACGGAAACATCTTTGGACAGCGCTGGTTCTTCAGCTTTGAAACGGAGATGAGCACCGCAACCCTAGAGTCGGATTCGACTGGCTTTCGAGCAAGGGAAACCTTTACCTTTACCTGCCAGTTATACATGTAAGGATCACATGTAGAAAGTTGGTCTTCTCTGAGAACTAGGATGAAGTCAAGTGTTCCCCACCCCCTGCCCAGAACATTAAAGAAAGGAATTTATTCATCATCAAAAAGTCCTCTTCTATGAAAAGTAAGCAAACCAGTCTAATCTGGGTTAGAAGTTGAAGTGGAGTGTCATTGTGCAGAGGGAGTTCTTCATGCAAAATCTCAGCATTTCTAGGTATTGAAATGAATGGATCAGTACTAGTTTAGCCTAGACTTTCCTAGCAATCTTTCTCCCCGTGTCATGTGGAGCTTAAAAACTAGACGTGATTGCAAGATCCAGTTAGATCAGGGTCTGTTGGACTTCTCACTGAACTGAATTCTGCCAGTTTGGTGCAGTGGTTAAGTGCATGGACTCTAATCTGGGAGAACCGGGTTTGATTCCCCAATCCTCCACTTGCACCTGGCTGGATGACCTTGGGCAAGCCATAGTTCTGGCACAGCTGTTCTTGAAAAAGAGCAGTTTCTGTCAAGAGCTCTCTCAGCCCCACCTACCTCACAGGGTGTCTGTTGTGGGGAGTGGAAGGGAAAGGAGTTTGTAAGACGCTTTGAGACTCCTTTGGGTAGTGAAGGGTAGGATATAAATCCAATCTCTTCTTCTTATTATTAAAGACCTTCTGGTTAGCATTCTGACCAACTTTGACTATGAGCGTTGATCTTGGTACTATAGAAATCAGCCTAGCTGGGAGGAAAGATCTAAAGTGATAAACTAAGCCACAAGCAGGGAAATGACAGGATTCAGCTCATATCTCCAGACCATTCCCATTTACTCTTAAAAGTGTTTTTCAGTCTCCACAGGCACTGGGGAAAAATGGGTTTAAAGGTAGAACTGGTGAATCCTTCCATCTCTGCTTCACTGAAGTTTGTGAACCTTAACAGAAGATCTTTTGATCAGATCCTCAAGAGTGGGAAGGGACTGAATTCTTCATGGGATGACCTGTGGAAATCCAGTCTTCCTTTTCAAATTTTGAAACATAGATTCTGAATTCACAATTTGATGAATTTAAGCATTTTAGACAGTCTCAATAATCACTATTGTCAAGGGGCATTTCTTGTTTGATTAATGTTGATTAGGATTAATTAATCCTAGCTGAATAATGTTAATACTCTTCTGTACACCTAAAAGGCATGGTAAGCTATTTGAATACTGGTTCTGGGCCGAGGAACACATTGTGGTTTTTTTTTTAGCATGGTCAGTTTGGATGTGGTAGAAGAGAGCTAGGTGGTATAAAACTTTGCCATGACAGTGAAATTATATGTGACCTCTGACAAGTTTAAGAAATAACACCCTTGCCTTCCTCCATATTTTCTGCTTTATGTTAGCCTCCTTGTGCTTGGAAAATGTGAGAGATTTATAATAAATCCAATCAGAAAGTGTTGTTTTCTTAGACCACCCTGATGTCACATAGATTTCATTATTCTGTTATTATATTGCATTGTTGACTATGCTAAATATGTAGCATATTTTAATATGTAGAAGAACACTCAGATTGTAATTGTATCCTTTTATTTACAGACATCAACTGCTACAGTGAATGTAGTTGTAACGGATGTAAATGATAATGGCCCAGTCTTTGATCCTTTTCTTCCTAAGAACGTTACAGTACAAGAAGAGGAAGCCAATGCATTTGTTGGTCAAGTAAGGGTAAGTTTAGCATAGTGACTTGCAAGATTATACAATTTGGTTTAAACGTCATTCAGAACCAGGGCTTAATTAAACTAGTTGTGATTATGAGACATCAATATCTGATTTAAACACCTTTGTTAATCTTTTGCAAACTGTCTCTCACATTTCAGCCATGAAACAAGGTTCACGTTATAAACTTTCCGGAATGCAAAATGCGCCCTGGTTTTTAAAAAATGCTGAATTAGTAACACAGTGACAATCACAGGAGTTGCTGGAAATTCCGTGTCTTCTGGTATTATCCAGATAGAGCAGCCATGTAGGTAGTGTGTGAATCATGTGGTGCCTTCCTATACACATGTCATCTAGCCTCCAGAAAAGCTGATGGTGGCATGTAAAGGAAGCCTTCATTCATTCCATCTGCACTGTTCCTCAATCCAAATGTTGCTAGACCATTGGGAGAATGCACCATAGGGAAGTGGGTCCCATATTGTTCCTAAAATGTTTGAGTCAGACAAAGATCTTGCCATTGTGGTGTATGTCCTAGTAACATCTAGATTAGGTTGCTGCAGTGCACTCTCCATGGGGCTGCCCTTTACAGAATAGGGACGGGCACAAACCACCTGACAAAATAAAGTTTGTGATGGATTTCTGCTGGTTCACACTTCACAAAGCAAAGTTCATGGCAGGTCAAGCAGCACAAACATTCCACAAACTTTCAAGCAGTTTGTGGAGATTTGTGCCAGTTTGTGAATGGATACATTTCCAGACAGACAAAATATATACCAAGCTTCAAAGCAACGGGGGGGGGGGTCCTCCAGCCTTGGAAAAACTGTTGTCAGTTTCAAACTAGCCATGTCAGTTTCAAGAGGTCTCCCCCCTCCCTTTTGCTGGCATTCTTGTCTTGCACAGAGCTTGCAAATCCTACCTTCCTTCCTTGGATTTGTGACTTTGCTTTGAGATCAGTCCTTTTAAGCTTACAATGCCGGTGCTGCTGGGTTCTGCTGGGCACTCTGTGATTGCACTGGTACTGCTTGGTACTTGGTTCTGCTGGACTTGGAAAAATGCCCCTCTTACTTGGATTGTGATTGAGGTGTCAGTTCCACCTTGCACTGGGTTCTCCTGACCTTGCAAAAATGCCTCCTTTCTTGGATTGTGATTGAGCTGGCATTGCCCCATTGGCACTGCATTCTGCTAGGCACTATTATATTGCACTGGTTCTGCTGGGCTTCCAGCCACCACCACCCCACTTGGATTGTGATTCTGCACTTCACATCAGTCCTGTTGTCTGGGTTCTACTGGGCATTCTGTGATTGCACTGGTACTGCTGGGTACTCTGTACATTGTACTGCTTCTTCTGGGCTTGCAAAAATGCCCCCCACCTTCAGTTTCTACTGTTGAGATTCTCTGGTTTGACCTTCGTCCTGTTGGGTTTGCACTACCACAGTGGCACTGGTTCTGCTGGGTTTGCAAAAAATCCCCCCTTGCCCTCAGTTTCTGCTGTACAGATTCTTGGGGACTTTGATTATGTTCTGCTGGGCTTCTATTGCCGTTGCATTTTTTGCTGGGTTTTGTTCCTTTATTGGAAATGGAGGATGGGGGCACCTTCTTTGGGGGTCTGTAAGTCCAACCTCATAAATCTGATCCTCGCCAAACTTGGATGGCAGATAAAATAGAGTCAGTCAGAGATCCCCTGTGAGTTTGGTGTCTGTAGCATTTTGTTCCTAAAAGTTCCTAATAGTTCATGGTTTGCAAACCGGGCATGCCACGAACCACAAAGCAAACTACATTTTACCAATTCATTCCTATCCCTTGTCCAAAAGCTACAGTTGATACAGAATACTGCAGCCATATCACTCCAGTCTTGTTCCATCTACACTGGCTTCCAGTTTGCTTCTGGGTTCAATTCAAGGTGCTGGTATTGATCTTTAAAGCACTACGTGGCTTGGGACCAGCATACCTGCATATCCCATATGAACCACTCTGGTCAGCTTTGGAGGTCCTACTTCAGGTGTCCCCATCTGAGGCTAGATGGGTAACTCAGTCATGGTACTAAAACTTTGAAACTCCCTCACCTGGCAGATTTTTCTGTCTCTCTCTGTAATTGTCATCCAGCAGTGGATAACACTTTTTTGTTTGGTTTGGTGTATTCCCAATATGGCCTTTCTCCCTGTCTGTGTTATTTGTGTTGTGTATTTACATGTATGTTTGTTTTTTATTGAATCTTCAAAGTATTAAGTATTTTAAATGCAGGTTTAATGTTATCAGTGTTTTAATTTTGAAAATTATCGGAATATTATTGGAATATTCATCATAAAGCTGCAGAAATTATAAGTAATAAGTGCATTCCAACAGGATATAGGCCATAATAAAACAGCCAGCATTGGTCCACAGACTTAACTGGGGTCCCCATTTTTGCCCAGCAGGATGGGGTGGCAAGCTGGGGCAGGCCTCCATTTTCCCAAGACATGCCAGCAGTTGTACAGGGCTCCACACAACTTTGCAGGTCCCCAGTGGCTCTGCTCAATGGCCATCCAGTCAGAAGGTTGGCCAGGCTACTGATGGGTGAGCTAGAACTGGTGGACCTGAGAGTGTGGGCCTCAGAGGTCCTCATGTACCATTGTGAGCCCATCCACCCACCCTTTTTTGGGGGGGTTGCATGCATTGCTCATGGTCATCAGTTTTTAATTTGGGTCCTTCCACTCTCTCCTGCTTTTGGTAGTTGGTTTTAGCATTTGAGATGGATCTGTTTGGGGGTGGAGGCTTAGGAAAGCATGCCCAGCTCAGAGGCTGTTGGACTCTCATCACCCTCCGATGGCAGGGGAGCACATAGTGGCCTGTGCCGAGGTGTTCCCATTTAGCTACCATCGCAGGATCTCCCCTATGCAGGTAGATTAAGGGTCGGGGTTTTCCATTAGGCAGTAAAGTAAACTCCTGGATTCACCATCCAATGCCAAATCAAACCTCTACAGCTGTGATCAATAAAATTGTGGCCTGTTTTGCTCCACAAAGAATGTAGTCTTCTTTCTTTGCCCCAGCTTTCAGTCACTCCTTCACCTCTGGGACCGCTAAAGAAGGCATAAACTTCGGTCAAAAGCCTGGGTAAAGAGAAATTTCTTGATTCAATGCCTGAGTGCCAGTAGGGTAGCTACCAGATAGTCCCCAAGGTGGTATCACTCCAAAGCTGATGTGCTGCCACTGAGAAATCCTTTTCTCCAGTCATCTTATATCTCTGTGGGTGCAGGCTCAGGGAAACAAGACTTGGGAAGACTATCTTAAATGTAGACAGTGATGTGGAATGTGAATGTGCTTATTTTTTTTCCTGCCAGCCAATTATTTGTTGTTGGGGTGCATCAGATCTGGTATAAGTTTTACTATCCTAGGCCAGCAAATACATTCTTTTAAACTATATTCCGTGTTCAGACCATGAGAGTTCGGCAACTCATGACAAGACAGCTTTTCTAACATAATATAGCCTGTCCTCTCTGACTGGAATTCTTCCTTTCTTCCTTTTATTCTTAGCTAGAATAGATTGATACTACTCAAGACCTGTAGGTTAGAGAGAGGGAAGGAGGGAGGGAAAGTGGCATTTTACTGGCATTGGGTTGGAACCCATCACATACTAGTCCAGATTGGTTTCTGCCATTGTGCTGCTAGTGGTTTCTCTCTGATAAGATTCAACCTTGAAGTACAAACAGTTGTGTTCATCTTCAGAAGTGGTGGAAAGAAAGTGTGGGGCCAAAGGTAATTTGGCTGTCTCTTCTCCTAGAACCCAGAAAGATGAAAGATGCTTAGGAAGGCCAGTGTATTCCTATGCACAACATACATAAATAAATGGTTAGGTATGAATTTCCCTTTTTAGAGGGCAATGTTTATGTCTCATTTGCTATAATTAGGTTTCTTTAGTTAGTGCTAAAGAGGAAAGTAGTTCATGTACAGAGTTCTACTTCCAGTCCAAAATCTCTTTTATAGCTATTGCACTAATGTGTGCATTCAGAGGCTTTTTATGACTCTCATCACCAATCCAAAATAAATAAATTATTGGGAAAATGTTAAACAGATCTGTTCCAATTGAATGTAAGGGTATGTAAGGATGCCCTTAACTTGAATGTGCTTTTGTACACAGTACTGGAAGCCAAGCAATAATGTTTTATAGAGACATAGGTTCACCCTAACTACTTAATATCTAAGAAGTACCAGGCTGCAGCAATAGAGCTCATTGCACATTAGGAACTAGTAGCAAGTGATAATATCCTATGAAGCAAAAGAGCTCTCAGCTGGAGTCCTTGCAGGCAGTGCCACTGGAAAATCTCCTGCTGGGTATGGGAGAATGCAAAGAAGATTAAAAGACCCAAAGCTAAAAAGGACAAGTCTTGAAGTGTTGTGGATACCTGTTGGATTCTTTTAACTCCACACGGTACTGACTCAACTGTGACAGTTGGAGTTGTACCAGATTCCCTACTGTTCTTTTAATTTTATTATTGGGATCCCCCAAAGTCAATTTTGAGTGCAATATCTTTCTTTTTAAAAAAAAGAGAAGTACTGTGAAGCAGAAAGATTCAAGAATTCAAATGCGAGCAACTGACAGTGAAGTTCAACCAGTTTAAACTACTTTCCCCCCAGCTATTCTAGTATGTAGAACATTCAACCATTTGATCAAAAAGTTGTATCTGAATTGGCTTGCAAGATCAGGTATAATATTTACAACTAGCACCTTTTAGGGAGGCATGTGAATCACTCAGTTCCTAAGTCGCACAACTCAGTTGTGGTGCTGATGGAAGAGGAGGCATATTAATATAGAACACACATGAACACCCATGAAGCTGCCTTATACTGAATCAGACCATTGGTCCATCGATGTCAATACTGTCAACTCAGGTATCACCTGCTTCCTGGTCCTTTTAACTGCAGAAGCTATGGATTGAAACTGAGACCTTCTCCATGCAAAGCAGAGGCTCTTCCACTGAGCCACAGCCCCTCCCATAGAAGGAGTTATTGCTTGTCTTGTTGCTTTTACAAAT